ACACACCGTGACAGAGGGAGCTGTGGCTGGGAACAGCCACCCTTGTTCGCTCCCTTATCCTTCAGTACACTCTTGTTTCTCTTCAGAGCGCATAAATCTTTCGCCTTTTACTAAAGATTTCCGTGGAGAGGAACATTAAGAGTTTCAAACAATTTTTTGATGCCCTGCGTATGTGGGGCTTCCCGATACTGTGAAATAAAAACACCTGAAATGAAATGATTACTCCTTCCACGCGGAAAGTGTTTCTAGTTCCTTCTCCCTGTGATGTGTTCAATGACCTCTCACACAACACGTATTTGATGGAGCAATGCACCTCCGAAATAGAAAAACCCAGTTGTTACTCTTTTTACAATGCGTGTACTACATTAGATTAAATTACATTTTGTTTCAATACAACTCTAAATTATTTACTACCATCTAGGTATGTATTTTGAAATGGTGAACACACCGTGACAGAGGGAGCTGTGGCTGGGAAGAGGGTCCCTTGCTCGCTCTCTTATTCTTCAGTACACTCTTGTTTCTCTTCAGAGCGCATAAATCTTTCGCCTTTTACTAAAGATTTCCGTGGAGAGGAACATTAAGAGTTTCAACTAATTTTTTGATGCCCTGCGTATGTGGGGCTTCCTGATACTGTCAAATAAAAACACTTGAAACGAAGTTATTTCTTCTTGCACGCGGAAAGTGTTTCGAGTTCCTTCTCCCTGTGATGTGTTCAATGAGCTCTCACACAACACGTATTTGATGGAGCAATGCACCTCCGAAATAGAAAAACCCAGTTGTTACTCTTTTTACAATATGTGTACATTAGGGTCAGTGTATGTTTTGGTCATTGGATTTTCTTTTCACAAATGGATATTCAAAAAACGACTGGATATTTAATTTTCGTTTTGAAAATTTAAAAACCAAAATTGAAATACAAGGCGTTTTTCTTTATCATGGTCAAAAAGGGATTTACTAAACTTAAAAAAACGGGATGATTTTCATTTTCTAGTTTTCAAAACAAAAAATAAAATCACTAGAAAACAGAAACAAAAAAACTACAGTTTTTTCATATACCGGAAGTTACCTTACAAAATAAGAGCGCAGATGAGGTCAAAAATTGGGTATCTACGGTCCATTTGTTTTTCTTTAGTAAACAAGTAAACGGAAGAGCGTCTGCGAAGCATTTTTGCTTTTTACCTTACTAAATGGTAAAATTGTATTTTTATCATTCATCAAAGATAGCAGAAAAACATGCATTATGTAGCCTACTATGGAGGGGACTTTGACAGAGGATTACTCACAAAGTACACAGTCAAAGTTCTTCATTTTATTTCTGGTAGAAGTCAAACTAGTACCGAGTCCAACAGTGTCAGTTTTCTTAAGAACTTGTGGTAAAACATATTTGTATCACTCGTCAAATATAGCAGGAAAAAAATGAAGAGCAGCTGATTTGAAAAAACAAACTCGAGAGGCGGCTGAGGTGACCGCAGTGCAGAATCGCTGTATAGTTTAAATCTCCTAACAATGTTGTCCATTTTAGACACAGGCTTATTATTTTTACAGCCCTTAATAACATTCGTTTTCTGGGCTCAATATGTGTCTTGGCCGTTTTCATTGTGATCGCTAAATTCCCCTAGTTTATAATAATCACAGTTCCTTCAACAGGATACTGTAGTGATTAAAAGTGTGATTTTAGCATAGCCTACATTACATTTTGTTTCAATACAACTCTAAATTATTCACTACCATCTAGGTATGTATTTTGAAATGGTGAACACACCGTGACAGAGGGAGCTGTGGCTGGGAACAGCCACCCTTGCTCGCTCTCTTATTCTTCAGTACACTCTTGTTTCTCTTCAGAGCGCATAAATCTTTCGCCTTTTACTAAAGATTTCCGTGGAGAGGAACATTAAGAGTTTCAAACAATTTTTTGATGCCCTGCGTATGTGGGGCTTCCTGATAATGTGAAATAAAAACACCTGAATCTACTCCTTATCACGGCTAACCTCTCTCTCTGATGAAGTCAATGATCTCACACACACCAACGTACACGTGAATCACTAATGAAAAACTCAGTAGTAACTCCATCATTACCTTATGTTTACTAGTAGTATCATACTACATTATTCTCTACACTTGTATCCACACCGCGACAGAGGGAGCTGTGGCTGTGAACAGGATCCCTTACTCGCTCCGTAGTTCTTCAGTACACTCTTGTTTCTCTTCAGAGCGCATAAATCTTTCGCCTTTTACTAAAGATTTCCGTGGAGAGGAACATTAAGAGTTTCAATTAATTTTTTGATGCCCTGCGTATGTGGGGCTTCCTGAATTGTCAAAAATAAATGATAGGTTCTTACCGTCCTCAATGGAATGGGTTATTCTAACCCCTGTGGTATGTTCACAACATACCATACCAGTTGCTTTGGAGCTAAATGTTGGAAAAACAAAGCTCAGGGAGAAGAAAGACAAGCAGAAACCACATTCAATGCCAACATATTAAAGAACATTCAATAAAAATAACCTTTAGTAATATCAAATTTGCCATTGTAGATTTCTTTTTGGCTTTACAAGATAAGAATGTGAGGAACTTGCTCAAGAGCCCATAAGAGCTCAAACGGTCTTTTCTCCCGCGTGTTGTGATGAGTGATGGCTGAATTCAATGTAGCTGCTCACAGCAACACCTTCAGACACTGAAGTCATCATTGCTGTTATAAGTGACAGCTGTGCTTTTCTTTTTTAAACCTCGAGATCACCTGCTGTGATTATCAGACAGTGACCAGTTTCCTGTTCAATCTTTTCAACATCCCTTTTTTTGTGAGAAAGTGACATTTCGTTGAGTACCAGCTTCAAAGCTGTCTGTCAGGTGTTCGGCTTCATCTTGTCTCTCTCGGTGAGTTTGTTTGTTTGTTTTTTATTGTTGGTGGGTTTTCATTCTGTGTTTCTCAAACACTACACAGACTATTTTAACCATTTTGATGAACCTTTTTTGATTTGGTATTGTTTCTTATTTAAACACTTATGGACTCTGTGAAAATATAGAAACTCTTCAGTGTTTCTTCACCTCTTTTAACTCAGCTCTGTGATCTGCTTCTTTAAGATGATTTTAAGGCCTTTAGTTGGAGACTCTTAACTTACTAAAGGAGTGATTAATTGTACTAGTCAACCAAGTGATTTAGGCCTTAGCGATATTAACTGTTGCCACCATAGGCATATTAATACCTGGGGACGCTGGGGACATGTCCCCACCACTTTGCATTAGGATCATTCTTTTTTAAATGTTCTGAGAACAGCGTGCACAAAGAATTGTACACTTTGTTTATTTCCACCAGAGAACATGTACAACCTGGAGGACTGTTCACTTCCCTTTTTGGGTGTATTTCTGTTAACCCAAGTGGTGCAGTTTGGACCTGTGACTTGTTTAATATTAGTAATAATTTAATAGAGAATAGTAAAGCAATTGTTGCTCCCGCTATGCAGCAGCGTAGCATTGTTACTGCACTAGTTGTCAAATGAAGTATTGTAAGCGTATGTATTGTAAGCGTATGTATTGTAAGCGTATGTATTGTTGGCGGGCGGGGGGCGCTTAATGCAGAGGTGTTTTTTTATCTGAAAAAGTGTCCCCACCACTTTTTCAAACAAAGTGACTTCAATGGCTACACACAGCTATATATCCTACATTGTGTTGTGTCACTTTGTGCTTCAAGCATACTTTTAACATCGTGGTCTAATAACTTCAATATAGGAAGGCTCAGTTTGAATCCATCACAGTCGTTTTTTATGTACAAAAAAACAAGAAAATAGGCATAGAACTAATATTTGATTGAATAATTTGCAGATAAGTAAATGCATCAGGAACTAGTTTTTATGGATGTCTTCAGCCTTCTCAAGAAACTGTGTGGTGAGATGTGTAAGATATAAGTCACTTCCTCATTCAGACTGATGAGACAGGAGGATGACTCCATTAAACCAATAAACACACAACACATATCTGCATGAGATATAACAGAACTCTGAAAATGTAACATATCAAAACATTCAAAGGGCAACAGCATTTTGTATTACAACTTATTGTAGCACCAGGCTCTGCTTTACTCGTCAGCTGTTTGTGAGCTCATAGGGAACTTTGATACTCACTGTGCAGGACACATGTTGCCAAGATGCAACAAGTGTTTATTTCTCATGAACCCAGTACTTTTTAAAGTAGATATTAAATGTACCTAAATATTCAATCAAGTCCTCAGAAAGGCATGTAGAGCAGAAACACTAACTTGATTGAATTGATTAATTATTGAAGTATTTCTTAAATGAAACCATACTTATTTGTGTTTTTTAGTCGCTATATAATTAGACTGAACGTCTTTCGGGGTTTGAACGGTTGGTTGGACAGCACAAGCAATTTCAAAATGACCTTTTTCAAAAATGATGGGTCATTTTGTTACTATGTTTTGAAATTGTACTTCCCAACATTAATCGAGTAATTAATTTACTCGATTAATGTTGTCAGATTATTCTATAATGACATGAATAGTTTTTTACAGCCCTACTCTAGAGCTGTTTTGCGTGGTTTTGTGACTGAACATCGCTCTCATTGCTCTTCATAGTCAACGTCTCTCTCCTGAACACTCACCCTGTCCTCAGTGTCCATGAGCAAGGCTTACTGTAGCAGTCTATTACAGAAACTGAAGGGCAGTAAAGGTTGCAGTGGAAACAGGGAGCGTTGGGTGGGATCTGCGGGAGATCAACACTCTAGTTTGATCCTGCTGTGTCATGTGTCTCCTCTTACAGCAGCACGTTCAGAACACTGGATGATTATCCAAAACGTCTCGTTCATCTGTCAGATTTGACAAGACAACAATCTCAACTCAACTTCCTGTTGTGTAAAAAAATACTGTGATGTAATCAGACCAACCACACCATGGAAGAACTGCATGTTGCAACCATTTCCTAACATCTGTGTTTGACATTAAGCAGTAGGAGTTAAATGCAGACTGACTTTAGTTCAACCCTGATCACCACAGGTCTGAACCGGACTGTCCGACACACTCTGTTGGGAAAGTCTGCGAGATCTCCCCCCTGGATGGAGAAGATAAAGAGACGCAGCTCTCTGAGAAGATCCAGGCGGTTCCGATCCACCGGCGCCCGGACCTGCTGGGGTCCTGCGCTGACCTGGTGAACTCCGAGTGGCGGAGGAGCCAGGCGGCCCGGGTCCACTCCCTCCAGAAGTCCTGCGCAGAGTTCCCCGTGTGCCTGGTTCTCCTGCGGGGCCACAGAGGGGCCGAGCGGCTGCTGGGCCACGCCCGGCTGTCCCGGGTGGTGGGTCGGAGCAGCAGCCTCTTCCTGGAGTCAGTGGTGGTGTCCAGGGCGGAGCGGGGGCGGGGCTACGGCCGCACTCTGATGGAGGAGACGGAGCGCTACGCCAACAGCAGAGGGTTCAAGCGCCTGTACCTGACCACCCACGATAAGCAGCACTTCTACGCCCACCTGGGGTACGTGCTGACTACGCCCGTGCAGAACGCAGGCGCCATGACTGCCTTTGTTCCCATGGAGACGCTCTTGAGGTTCTCCAGAATGCCGGGTCAAGAGACGAACACACAAGAGCAAACACGGACAAAGATGGAGGCTCGTGTACCACACAGTGCTTGTGTTGTGGGGTCACCTCCTCCTCCTCCTCCTCCTCCTCCTCCTCCTCCTCCACCACCTCCTTCCATACCTCCTTGTCCTCCGCCACCTCCTTCCATACCTCCTTGTCCTCCACCACCTCCTTCCATACCTCCTTGTCCTCCACCACCTCCTTCCATACCTCCTTGTCCTCCACCACCTCCTTCCATACCTCCTCCACCTTGTCCACCACCACCTTCATCCATACCTCCCCCCCCACCTCCCCCCCCTCAGTCTGCAGGGCAGCTTGTAGTTCAGACTCTGACTGAAACTCCCTACAGAGACGCTAAAGGAGTTCCTATCTACTGGATGCTCAAAGACATTTGACGAACACACACTCAGATACTGCTGGAAACACACTCCGCTGCATTCATTCACACGTGTTTGTGTATATGTGCACACATCAATAGAAACATATATACACTTTCAAAAAGCTCACTCACTATTAATGGTCTCTCAGACACACAACAAGTAATGGAAGAAGACAGGGTATAGAACAATTCAGAGAGAGAAATGATTTTGGGATATTTTGAAACTGAAGATCATGAAGGTGCTTGTTTTTAAAATGCTCATCAAAATGCTTGTGGGTTTGTTTGTATAGAGTGCCTGCCTACCAACCCACAGACTGTGAAATATGAACATCTTCATCAAACCATTCAGATTGGATTTCCCTTGATTTGTCACTGGGTCTTTAGGATATCTGTTATAGCATCACACTAGTTTACCGGCCAGTCAGTGTCCAAAAGGCGACCTTACAGAGCTGTGAGGTCGAGACTTGAGGTCACATAAACTGAGAGTTAATTCTCTGGGAAGTAGGAGACATCTGGTTTCCAGCAATTACACTTTTAAGATTTCCATATGAATACATTCTGGATGCTTTTAATGAGTTTAAATATCTACTGAATGTAACCGTTTTCTCTTGAGGGAATCTTTTGAAAGATATGGATTGTGACAAAGGTCGAGTGAAAGCTTAGTAAAACATATTTTAGAACATATTTTGGTTTATTCCAACCAACCACTCACTGTTTTTGATGTTTTCATGTGGAACTGTAATCTTGAACATGAGGATTATTGTGCCTTGTTGAACTGCCAGAGAACTAAAACGTTATTAAAATCACTTTTTCACGTTGATGAGTGTAATTCATCACAATTCTGGTAATAAAGAGGATTTATAAACGTATACATTTGTCTTTCTTCGCCTATATTACATCTAATGTTTATTATTAATCAAATATAATCTTACAAGGAGTTAGAATTAGCTAAACAAAAAATAAACTATGATGGGCTGCCCAATATCAACAGTATGTATTTATGACTTCTTGATCCCAGGGCAGAAACGTTCCTCATATGAAATCTCTCTCCTGTCAGGAAGGACCCGTCAGTGGGTGAGCAGCCATGGTGCTGCTTCACCTCCCTCTCCCCTTCCTCCTCCTCTTCTCTCTCACCCCTCTGTCCCCGGCCTCCCCCCATGGAGACCCCCACACCCCCCTGCCTGCTGCAGCAGCAGGTTCGATCCTGCGGCAGCGGCCCTTCGTTGTGGTGTGGAACCTGCCCACAGCTCAGTGTCACTCACGATTCAACATCCACCTGGACTTGAGCGCCTTCGACATCGTGGAGAACCGAGAGCAGCGCTTCCTGGGACAGGTGACCCCACTTTACTGACCCCAGTCCACTCTGAACATATTCTTGAGATAAAGGATTCAATTTGAAGTGTTTAGTATTTACATGTGTCTGCCATTGCTATAAATAAGGTTAATGGGAACAGTCAGATCTGCTGTTACATTCTGGTTGTAATTATTACAATAACTGCTTTTGCAGTCATAGTACTTTTGAAAATGACTATTGCAATATATTTTTCACCCATTGGTTCGATCTTTAAATGAATTAAATATTACAAATTGGTTGCATGTGATATACAAATATGTTTTTTAATGAGCAAACAAACATTTCAATTCTTGCCAGACGGCAGCAGGGTGCTGGGTATTATCCCTCAATATCATTTGGGCTCTAAAAGATATAGCCTTTCAAATCAAATCAAATCAAATCAGGTTTTATTTATATAGCACATTTAAAAGCGATTTTTGGTCGAGCCAAAGTGCTGTACATGTAATAAAAACACATTACTACAATCACAATAAAAGACAATAATTTACAACAGAAATATAAAAAACAAAAACACAGGGAAAAGTCAGGAGTCATGCTCCGCTCTGACTAGAAGGCCAGAGAGAAGAAGTGAGTCTTTAGTGAGGATTTAAAAACCCCTAGGGTCTGGGCCGACCTCACATGGAGGGGCAGAGTGTTCCAGAGCCTAGGGCCAGCTGCTGCGAAGGCTCGGTGCCCTCGGGTTTTGAGCCTGGTCTTGGGCACTACCAGCAGCAGCTGGTCAGCAGACCTTAAAGCTCTGGTTGGGGTGTAGCGCTGGAGGAGTTCTGCTATATAGGCAGGAGCCAGCCCATTTAGGGCTTTAAAAACAAATAAAAGGATTTTAAAATCAATTCTGAGCCGAATTGGAAGCCAGTGTAGTGAGGCCAGAATGGGGGTGATGTGGTCACGCTTTTTGTGGCCAGTAAGAAGACGTGCAGCAGCGTTCTGCACTAGCTGCAGGTGTCTAATTGACGCCTGGTCCATACCCACATACAGAGCGTTGCAGTAATCCAGCCTCGAGGTAACAAAGGCGTTAATAACCCTTTCTAGGTCTTTAAAAGATAAATACGACTTGGTCTTGGCCAATAGTCTTATTTGAAAAAAGCAGGATTTGACTACGGTGCTGACCTGCTTGTCAAATTTAAAAGTGCTACTGAAGGTCACTCCAAGGTTCATGACAGAGGGGAGGATGTTTTCATCTTTGCTTTTAGCTGTTCACTTGCCTCTTTCAGCTCCATTTTTGCTGAATGCTAAACGGAAATTATCTGGATGGTTAGGATGTTGTATTTTTGCAGTTAAGCCAATTTATCAGGGCAGTTAACATAAATGTGTGCCCGCTGCTGTAAAAAAAGGGTTGGTGAGGATGCTAAGGCTAAGTAGCTAAATGTGACATAAAACCAAAACAACAAGCTAAAAGAGACTAAAAGCTAACAGTGTCAAATGTTTACTTTTCTAGAAAATGACTATCTTCTACCGCGACCGCCTGGGGAAATACCCCTACCTCTCCCGAGGCGGGGGGAAGGTAAACGGAGGGATCCCTCAGCTCAGCGACCTCTCGGCTCACCTCTCCCTGGCGCTGTCGCAGATGTCCTCCTCTCTGCAGCCAAACTTCAACGGGTTAGCTGTTATCGACTGGGAAGACTGGCGGCCATTGTGGGAGAGAAACTTTGGAACCAAGATGGAGTATCGCAGGCAGTCCAAGCTGCTGGTGAGACAGGAGAAACCAGATTTGTCAGAGAGAGAAACGACATTGTTGGCAACGAAGACGTTTGAGGAGAGCGCTCGGAGGTTCATGGGGGAGACACTTCGAATGGGGGTCACACATCGCCCCGAGGGACTCTGGGGGTTTTATGGTTTCCCTGCCTGCTATAATAATCACAAGCAAAAGACAGGTTTGAGAAACACTGTAATACATTGTTGCAGTTCATGATCGTGATGATAAAAACTGAGCTTGTGTGTTTTACTTGTGTTTAGATAAAAGCTACACAGGACGCTGCCATGCAGGAACCGAAGAGCAGAACGACCGTCTGTCCTGGCTCTGGAGTCAGTCCTCCGCTATGTATCCCAGCATCTACCTGCCTCCATGGCTGGAAGGGTCCACGGACGCAGCTCTGATGGTCAGGTACAGAGCGGAGAGACATGAAGAAGTGTTCACACCGCTTCAGCCATAAAAACCTATGAACAACTGTAATTCACCTGCAATCAAACGAAAAGCTTTGTACACAGGATGTTCAAGGACAGTTCACCCCAAAATCAAAAATCCATATGTTTCCTCTTACCTGTTGTGCTATTTGGATATATATAATCGTCTGCTTTCTGTTTAATATAATGGAACTAGATGGCACTCGGCTTGTGGTGCTCAAGGCGGAAAAATATACTTTAGAAGAAACTAAACACCCATGTCTTTTTCCAGAAATCATAACCTGGTTTCCTGTGGAACTATTATTCACCAAATCACCTTGCAGAAGGAAGCTTGCATCTACTTGCATTCACTTATTGATTTATGCAGTTTGGTAGAGAGAAAATAGTTCTTACATACTAACCTGGTCATGATTTTTTGAAAGACACATTGCTTTTCAGTTTTTCAAATGTCATTTTTGGCCACTTTGAGCACAACAAGCCGAGTGCCGTCTAGTTCCATTGTGATGGAGAGGAAGTAACGTCTCTATTCAACTCACACCAAACCCAATCTAGTTGTATCTATATGGTAAGATGAGAAATATATATATGGTCTTTGGGTGAACCCTTTTAAGGAGGGTAACTGAAGGACGTTCCTCTGCTCTCAGACACAGACTGCTGGAGGCTTTGAGGGTGGCGTCAGTTTGGCGCCATGGCAACGATACTAACCAAGCCACACCGGTCCTTCCCTACGCCAGGCTGGCATTCACACACACTCTCACTTTTCTTAATAAGGTGGGATTACTTGGAACTCATAAAATCACACACTCTCATTCAAACACAAACCAACTGTGTGTGTGTGCGTGTGCGTGTGCGTGTGTGTGTGTGTGTGTGTATGTGTGTGTGTGTGTGTGTGTGTGTGTGCGTGTGTGCGTGTGTGTGTGTGTGCAGATGGACCTGGTGCACACGCTGGGGGAGAGTGCGGCGCTGGGTGCTGCTGGAGTGGTGCTGTGGGGGGAGCTGAAGTTTGCCCAATCTAAGGTATGTAATGTTTGGCAGAAATGTGTTTATTTTGTGTGTGTGTGTGTGTGTATGTGTGCATGTGTGTTTATGTGTGTGTGTAACCCCTCCCCTTTCTCCAGAATCAGTGCACCCTGCTCAGGGACTACGTGCACTCTGTCTTGGGTCCCTTCGTCCAATCTTTGAGGTCGGACACTAAGCGGTGTGGCTTTCAACTTTGCCATGGCAACGGACGCTGTGCCAGGCGACGCCCCGGCTCTGGTCACATGGTCTCCTCAGGTCTAGCTTTGACCTTTAACCCCAATGAAATCAATGGCAGAGCATTTCACAACCACTTCCTGTGTCAGTGCTACCTGGGCTGGACCGGGCAGGAGTGTCAAGAGAAGAAGAACGAAAACAGAGAGAATAGCAAGTAACAGAAATGTTTCTATCAAACAGACATCAGTCATTTAAAATGAAATAAGTGAATTGTGTTTATTTCACACAAAAAATCACAAAGTATGCATGAACAACGGATTTCAATTATATTTCCCTCCAAGTGCAAATCATTTTGAGTTTAACTTGATGACACTTCATTACATTTTTCAGGATTTGTCACTTTTTTCCTCTTAACTTTTTGTTATTGGAAGCACTTTCCAAGTTAAGCTTTTAACCTACACTGCAGTGTTTGTGCAGCAGGAAACCTAACACAGTAATGGCTGCCCTGAGAAATATGTTATAAGGGTTGGTTGAGGTCATTGACCTTTAATAAATGTTACATTGTTTTAATTAAAAAAAGCAAACTAGTATTGTTTTTTTGTTGTTAAGTCAGTCTTTGTATTTAACATGTTTAATGAGGCACAATGTCTGAATGAAAGCACAAACAGAACACACTGTTATATTAAGATAGTGTGTCTTTTATACATTACACTCAACACTCATTCAACATTCATCCATTCACTCATTCTTTTAAGCAACCAAGTTATACTGCTTTAATGATGCGCAATCACAGAATAAAAGAGATCATTGGAAAGTTACATTTACCAGGGCATCCAGAAACCTCCTATTTCTCAATTACATCAGTAACATTTAATCCTAAACACAGACAACACTTAGGGAAAATCGACTGTAAAACCCAGTTTTACTGCATGTTCAAGCATCTCATGTCCAGTGTGTGCATCCAGGTTTAGTGTTCTGTGCATATCATGTCCCTCCTCCTGAAGCTGTCAGGTTGTGTCTCAGTGCCTGCAGCTGTTGGATCAGCAGAGACAGCTCTGTGGCTGCAGCCTCTTTCTCCCTCACAGCCTCAGTCAGCATCTGGATGGCTCCACCCTGCTGGACTGGAAGCAGACAAGAAACAAAGGCCTACTGTTAGTTTGACTTAAAGGTCCCCTACTCTTTTTCATCAATCTGTTATAGTTCTCAGTTATGTACAAAACATGTCTCTGAAGTGTTTGGCTCAAAATCCCATAATCCCCTCTGTTTCAGCTCTGTTTCAAAAGTGCTGATTCTCTGTCTGTTACTTTAGATGAAAATAAGGAGCCCCTCCCCACGCCCCTCTGAGAGATATTTGGTTAAAAAGAACATAATGGTGCTCTAGGAGGAGATTCAGGTGATAAGGTGGGGGGGGGGTTACCTTGGTTGATTATTGGCTAATGGTTACACAAGCCAAAAAACGTAAAGGAACAAAATAAAAATGTAAAATATCCACAAATTATAAGGAGAAAGTTATAAAAACAAATGAAAATCATTATACCCAAAAAGTAGAAGATGAGTAGCACGGTGAGCAGCAGCAGCGTGATGATAGCACAGCCCATGGCGTAGGCCCGCGATGAACTGGGGGTCAACATATCCTGCAGACGACTCTGCCATTTGCTGCTGTTTAGACGGCCTCTTTGATTGACAGCTGTCATGTCACATGTGTAGAGATTCCCATTGGAGGAGGGGGAGTTTGCAGGACGAGGAGGTCTCACCCCTGAAATCATGAGACACAGCGAGTCAATCACTGTCAATGTGTGCTTGGTTCAACGATTGTGTGTGGGCCTTTTTGGCTGTATTCGAAGTGTGTGTACCTTTTGTTAGTGTGTGTGTGTGTGTGTGTGTGTGTGTGTGTGTGTGTGTGTGTGTGTGTGTACCTTTTGGGCTGTTTTCAAAGTGTGTGTGTGTACCTTTGTTGCTGTTCTCATGGTGTGTTCGGTGGAGATCGTTGATGGAGTCCACCGAATGAAGCTCGATCTCGGTGAGATCTCTTTCGCTGACCCTGTAGAACTGAGGGGTGGTCTGGGAGGACGGGGGCCTCGACATCTCGCCTCTTCAGGGATGGACAGATGGCGCTTCACTCGTCACAACTTCTTTCCACCGAATGTCTGCTATGTAAGCTATGTAATATTCTTAAAGGCGTGCTTTGCAGCTCCCCACAGTATTGTCTTTCAAAGCCATAAGAGACAACTTCTTAAAAAAAGAAAAAAAACATCCAATAAGATGGTGTGTGAGGGAAGCTCTGAAGACACTGCCTCGGATACTACCTATGGTCTACTCTTGACTGACCAAAAAATGGAATGGATTGAATGTTTGGATCTGGTTTCATTTAATATAAATATAAAATATTATGTCGGTAAATAATATAAATGAGGATATGACGGGTTGGTTCTAAAAGTTGAAGAGAAAGGAGGGAAACAAGTCAATATATTCTAAGGATACAATGAAAAGAGAATTCTGTTGTATCTGTGTGTAAGACAAATCAATGGTTTGAAAAGTTATTTATCAGAGTTATTTATAGAGCTGATCGTCAAAACCATAAACGCACAAAATTTGAATCCAGGACCAAAGGACATGACAGAGTCTAATCTAATGAGTAATGACTAACTCAATGAATGAGTGGATGATTAACTAACTCATTACCTGACTGTACTAACGACACTGTGTAGCAAACCAGATAAAACAAGAGGACTGCACTTACCGTCTGTTACAACAGGAGCAGTGCTGGCTTTTATATGCGTCTGCTTGTTTGTTCTTGTCAGTCTGCCGCTGTTCTCTTTCACACGGTCTCCTCACACTCTGACACCCGATTACCAAAACATGTGTCTGCAGGTTATCCAGGAGCCACACAGTGAAGTAATCCAACCGAACTCAAATGATATCCCAACATTCATTTCCAGTAAAATCCTCGATGTTGGAAAGCAACAGGGAAACTCCGGCTCTTACCTTCTTGTGAATATGTGTGTGTGTCACTGAGCAACTGTCGACTACCCCCACCACCTACTAAGTTTGTTTGTCTGTATGTTCTGATTTAGCCCACCATAGCTGTCATGCGCCAACCCCCTCCCAAAAAAATGCTCATGTACAAACCCAACCCTGCAGGCCCTCAAGGCCCAAAATAGCAGCAGAGCTTGGGGCTATCAATAGTTCCTCAGGCCAAAGGATGACTCAATGATCTAGGTGGAGGGCATGATGGGGTCCATTGGGATAAACACACACACAAATACTTACATGGACACATGTCATTGAGAATAAGCAAATTAGCAATTTTGTACTGCTACTATTTACAATGTGTCTGTCATTCCCTCTGTCTGTCCTTTGGACTTCCAGATGTTGCGACCTATTAGTCTAATGATTTGGTGCTGAATTGGCGTATGTGATTCGGACTAGCTTTGGACCACATATGCAAACCTGGTCCATTTTTGGCTGAAGTTCACCAAGTTTGACCTTGTATTATTTATCTTTTTTTCCTAATATTGTACATCTGTTTTTACTCTAACTATTAGGCCCACAATAAACACTTCAATCTGAAGTGGAGATCGTGTAAAGTGTTTACAAACCTTAAAAAAAAAAAAAACTCCAACCATATTTATACTGCTGGATATGCAACTTAAGAATAAGGCTGTAGAAGTTGCTAAAACTGAAATGAAAGATACGTTTAGGAAGCTACCTGAAGACACACTTGGGAGAAGTACTCAGATACTGTACTTTAGAAAAAATAGAAGTACCAGAGTGGAGGAATACTCTGTTACATGTAAAAGCCATGCAATCAAAAATGTTACTCAAGGAAAAGTACAAAAATATAGTTAAAGTACCGAAAGTAAAAGTATACTCATTATGCAGATTGGTCCATTTCAGAATAATATATAATTAGGCTATGTTTTGATTTTAATTATTGATGCATTAAGTGTTATCAAAGCTGGTAAAGGTGAAGCTAGTTTTAATGACTTTGAATACTGCAGTGCAGGGTAGCTTGTGAATGTTACTCCAGGTGTAACTAAAGTCTTATTTAAGTGTTGATTATATCACACATTATTAAACAAAATATGCAAAGTAACTAAAGGTATTAAATAAATGTAGTGGAGTAAAAGTACAAGATTTACCTCTGAATTGTAGTGGGGTAAAAGTAGGCTACAAATCGCTCAAAATTGTACTTAAGTAGGCCACAGTACTTAAATGTACTTAGTTACTTTACATCACTACATTTAACTATAGCCTACTAATACTATGGCTCTTCTTATTCTTATGGTGTGATCTGGGCCTGGGACATTATGCCTAAAATCAATCTTTGTATTGATATGTTGAAGAGCGAGTCATTACCAGTGTGAACTGTTGCAGGGCAAACTACATTTCCCACAAGGCTTTGCTCCTTCCTCCATATACGTTCGCTTCATGTGTTTTTGCCAGAAGTGCAGGAAAGGAATTCCAGAGTGAGTGCTGCTCAGAGTTTAGTAACAGCGGAACTGTTCCCCTATCATCCAGCACCAGCAGCGTGTTTGTGAGAGACTTCCGCGGGGACTCGGGTGCATGATGTGGGCTCGGTTGCTGGTTGGGGTCGGGGGCTCGGGGCTCAGGCTGCGGACTTCCAGGGACCTCCGGGGTCTGCTGCGGGTCGGGGGAGCTGCATGTGCGGGGAGGAGGCAGGCTTCAAGCGGAGAAGTAAGTGCCCAGTGAAAGGTCACTGCACGGTATCGTTACAACTTATCCGGAGTGCATATGCGTTGTTTTTTAACTGATTTCTGGATGGGCGATTATGTTTTGTGTCATGTTATCACAACATTCCTAGTATGGCTACAACTGAATATTGTACACATCAGTGGCCCTTTTTGTTTAGTTTTTAATAAGATATCACTCTTATACTCGTATAGCTTTATTTGTGTAAGAGTAGTCATGATATGTGTTGATTGTCCTCAGTTAAGTATTTACCTGGGTCATATTTGAGATTTAGTTTTTCAGATACATTGTGCAATCGATTTTGGAACTGTGTTGTCTCTTGCTCATATACAACTCAGAATAAATCACTGTCTCCTTCACTGTTACTGCATAGTACAATAACTAGATGAGAGTGTGTCACAGCAGCAGTCAGGTCATGCAGACATAATGTACATCTGTCCCAGCAGACTGCCATCCTGCCTGCTTCACTGAGCTGAGCTGCACAACGTGATTTTATTACAACCACGAGTGACTGATTCTACTGTCAGTATGTCTCTGTTACTCAATGCTATTGGAGCTGGGAAATGAGACAGATTCACACATGCATTCATTCAGCAACGTCTTCACTCATTTCCTTCCTGCACTCACTGAGGAAGTTAGGAATGATCAGTGGCATGAGGCAAAATGTTTTTATTTATTTATACTTCTAATATAAGGTTCTTACTTGTGTAGTGTATCCCTTTTCTATATTGTCATATAAACATGATATGCATACTAGGATTGATCTTAGAGTTCTGCACAAAGCAAAGAGGGTAAAAAGAGTAAAGTCCTTACCATGACTAGTAGTTTATTATGTGTGTAACTTACAACCAACACAACCACCTTTCTTATGTTCATTCAAATGAATGAATGACTTTGGACTTGAACAGTTTCGTAAATAACAATTGAGTGTTACGTAAAGTGCCGACACACTCTGCCCCATAATGCATTTCTGCTGCTGTGCTGATAAGCCCCCTAAACTGGTGGGTTCAAAGGTCATAAGTAAATAAAAGACCGTAGTGTAGAAAGGATTCACCTGTCTTTTTAAAAATGTATTTATTAGAAACAGTCTCCTAAATTCTACAAACATCACTGGGATAACATTTAAACAATGTATAGATATTTTTTAATCCTTATTGTTGCTCCGTTTAAGATGCATAAGTTCAACCATTTAGTATTATAATTATTATATCAAAATTCACTTTGTGTGTTACCTGTGTTTCTATTTATTTGTACACTCAGTAAAGTGTTTATCTCCCACAGGAAGCCTTGAAGAAGACCCCGCTGTTTGACTTCCACAGGGAGCATGGGGGGAAGATGGTGGGGTTTGCAGGCTGGAGTATGCCTGTTCAGTACAAAGACAGTCACATCGCCTCTCACATGCACACCAGAGAGCACTGCTCCATCTTCGATGTCAGCCACATGCTGCAGGTGGGACGAGTACACAAGGACACACACAAATATCCACACTACACAAAGTGAACACAGGTTAATAAATACAAGCTCACATCATCAAAATCAAGATATGGAGTTTGTCTATTAGATTTGATCCACGAATGTACCCAAAGAAACATTGTCATTGCTGCATTCAACTATATCCTTTTGCTTTTTCTCTCTCAGACCAAAGTCCACGGCAAAGACAGGGTGAAGTTCATGGAGTCTCTAGTCGTTGGAGATATTGCAGAGCTCAAAGACAACCAGGTGAGATGGAGGATTGGTTCATTTTGACTGACCCTTTTTGACCACATAGACATGTTTTCAACTGTTTAACTGTTTAAATCAACTTGATTGCGAACAGTGGGGTATTCAAACATTCATTTTGACTGTGTAATACCTTTGAGTTCACTATTCACTCTCATTTTAGTTCTAAACAACACCAAATATCTTGCTCTTTAGCTGCTAAATGCTCCATTATGTTTTCCAATAATTATTACCTGCGTCTGTTTGGTAGTGTAAAGTGGCTCCCTCAAAACAAAGCAGTAAAGCTGCCTGCATGTAGACCAAAACTATGAGCTGAAAAACTCTAAAATACTCTTTGGAGCTGAGGGCAACTTCTGAGTCTGGTGATTGTAGCTTTTCCCAATGAAAAAAGAGTACATGTATTAAGTAAACAAATAATGTTATAACACTTACAAGGTCATTTTATGGTAAGGACATTTCAGGATATGCTTAATGTCGCAGGACGATTAGAAAACTACACATTTCTTAACTCAATTTCCAGACAGATTTTTGTGTAATTTCCCACCATTTTGTGCATTTAAAGCAATTTACAGTCACAGAAATCACTATGAGTTACAGAAAAAGAAAGTACAGGCAACCTAATATATAAAAACAATCAGGCCAGCAAAAGCAGATACATACAATACAATAAGCTACTGCAGATACAGTAAGCTCTTTTAAAAAGAAGAAATCACAGACAGTATTATTGAACATAAAAAGAGACAGGATGATTGGATAATCTGACACACATTTATTGCAAACAGAGCATAAGTAAGTAAGGTGTTCACCCACTCATCTTTTTTCTCCCCCCCCCCCCCCCCCCCCCCCCCCCTCACCCCCAGGGCACACTGTCCCTCTTCACCACGGAGAAAGGAGGGATTATTGATGACCTCATCGTGACGAGGACAGACCAGGGCTACCTGTACGTCGTGTCCAACGCGGGCTGCGCCGACAAGGACTCGGCTCGTATGAAGGTAAAAGCAGACCGAGGTGTGTGTAGACAGACAGGTTGGGATTGTAGTACACTGATGTGTGTGTGTGTGTGTGTCTGTTTATTTCCTTTAGGCCAGACTGGCAGAGTTCAAAGCTGCAGGTCTTGATGTGGATATGGAGTTCCTCGATGAAGCACTGATTGCTGTGCAAGGTAAAAAATGCTTCCTTACTTTATTCCTTTCCTTTACCACTCATTCTGTTGATCTCTCCCTATCCTTCTGTTTAATTTCTCTCTTTCACCAGTTGTTGTTACATTATCTCAGTTGCTTTCTTTGCCCCATAATGAACCCTTTTCTATCATTTTTGAGCTCCTCTGTGTCTGGCTCCCCATGTTGCAGTTTTATTAATTGTGTTGTGTGTTGTCAGGTCCGTCCATGGCTCAGGTGCTCCAGCAGGGCCTGAAAGAGGACCTCAGTAAGCTGACCTTCATGAACTCCACATTGGCCACTGTGTTCGGTATCCCCGGCTGTAGGGTCACCCGCTGTGGATACACCGGAGAGGACGGAGTGGAGGTGAGCATCGCTCTTTTTTTCTGACAGTGACATTGAGCAAATAATAAATGAATGAAGCTATACTTTCACACATTTGTAGATGTTCCCTCTGAATGTGTCCATCAGATTTCTCTGTAAGACATATCTCTCAGAAACACAATATTGAACCTGATGGTGGCAGCAGAGGAGAAATCAAGGGAAAACCAGTAGGATCTTAAAGACAGGATTAGGATGTGTGCAAAATTAGAGCACATTATATAAGACTTTCAATACAATATTATGATGGCCAAAGGAGTTCACCATAGAAAATGATATTGATAGAAAATGTAAATAATCTTATTAATAATTGATCAGTCAAATTCATTTGTGTGTTTTGTCATTTTTCTGCAAATGAATGGCACTCAAAATACAAATGTGAGGAGTTGGAGATTTTTTAACCCTAACAGAGAAAGTAAGAAACGGAAGGAAACTTTCAAGAGACGCTTAATTATTCACGCAATATAATCATCTGTGCATTATTAACATGTCTTATATATTTCATTTCATAAATATCACAGATATTAGTCAATTATGGTAAATCGTGATACACCTAATACAAATATAAGAATCATTGGTGAATATACAAATTCAATACTAAGATCATTTGGAAATATATACAAATATAATAATGACTACATTTTCTATTAGAACCGTATACAAAATTACAGGGAGGGAAATTGATATATAAGAAATTCATATTTCTGTTTGACTGAACTAATGGACTAATATACAAGACATTAGCATCCACAGAGTCACTCGCTAATAAACAATAACAAATGTTATGTGTACTCACACCTTTTACCTGTCCTGTGTGCCATTGTTCTCGTAAAATAATAACAATATCTAAAAAACTACAGGCTGAATCTGTACAGATGGTTTGTGTTTCTTTATATTTGATAGTTTACTCACAGTTTACAAGTTTATATCCTGTATGTGTAATGTCATTAAACACACGGATCTCAAGTGACAGAGCTGGGTTTCTAGTTTAAATCCATTTGGTTTGTACACTTTAAACACAGTGATATATTAACACTGTTAAACAAGCAAACTGCAGCCTGAGTCTTCTTTACTCTCTGTCTCTGCCCACTCTGCTGGAGCTCTGTAGATACCATGTGGGTGTCTCTTTCTCTCTGTCTCTGCCCACTCTGCTGGAGCTCTGTAGATACCATGTGGGTGTCTCTTTCTCTCTGTCTCTGCCCACTCTGCTGGAGCTCTGTAGATACCATGTGGGTGTCTCTTTCTCTCTGTCTAACAGAGGGAATGTGGGAGTCTGCTTCTGTTGATCTAAAATCATATAAACTCATCTTACTATCAGTGCTAAGACTCACTTGACTCACAAATATCTTTGAAGCACATAAAAAGGCTTAAATGACCATGCTTGATGTCATTACTTGTAGTTTCCATGATCTTTTTATTGCGAATATATCCTTATAGAAAAAGTTTCTCCCAAAAAGCGACCATTATTTCAATATTGATGAGTTTAAATGCTGTTTCCGGTTCATAATTTGCATTCAACCTCCTTGGATGGAGACCAACTCTACACTCTTTGTGTCTCTGTGTTGCAGATCTCCGTCCCGGCCTCCAGAGTGGTGGAGCTGACGGAGAAGCTGCTGTCTCACAGCGAGGTGAAGCTGGCGGGGCTGGGCTCCAGGGACAGTCTGCGGCTGGAGGCGGGGCTTTGTCTCTATGGCAACGACATAGATGAGACCACCACACCTGTGGAAGGCACGCTGGTCTGGACCATTGGTGAGATTATAGTGGTCATTAAAAAAAGATAGATTTTTTAAGTTAATATTTAAGTGTTGCAGGGTTTTTGCTCAAATAAGCAGGTTGGAAATTGATGCTATAAAGCTTTTAGGAGAACTGCCAACTAAACCTAAACAATGTGGCCTGGTTTGAAAGCAAAAAATGAAATATAGAACTAAAAGATCTGAAATGAATGTCAGTTTTCGTGCCTTTATATAACTATAATAAAGGAGACAGCAACTGTCTTGACATTGAACCATAGACACTGAACAGACTTCACATTGCAGAAGAAGATGCTATGCTGAAATTGCTCCACATTTAATCCCTATTTTATTTTCAACTGCAGTCTATTCTTGTAGAATTAAATTATGAGAACATGATTGAAATATTGTACGAAAACATTTAATCATTCAACTCAGGTCTAATCTAATCAACTGCCTACCAATTTACCAAAAACCCAGACTATCTTTTCAACACATCACTGTGTGAAGAAGCACTTTATTGAGCTTTGAATATACACTGCAGTCTGTTCACTGTGTTAACTCTTAATTATTTGTCTCTCGTATATATAGGTAAGCGCCGGCGTCAGACAAAGGATTTCCCTGGTGCTGACATCATTGTTCCTCAGATAAAAGCCAAGACAGCAAGGAAGAGAGTCGGTTTGGTGTCTACCGGCCCCCCCGTCAGACAACACACACCTATACTCAGCCCCGATGGAAAAGTCATAGGTCAGAACGCAAACACAGTGGAAGTGGTGGACATGAGAGGGCTGTGGCGCCTCTGTATTTCAGATAAGAGTGGAAATAAATCACTGCTGGAGTAAAAGAGTAACAAATTAATTTATTAAGAATTGTTTTAGGTAACTCAAAGCACACAAAAAAGGTCAATATTAAAGCCACAAAGTAGTTTTGTTGAACTTTTTTTTTACAATGCTGTATTCTCTTTGTAATCCACTAGGGGGTGCAGAAGTAGCACATTTTCCAACTTTTTGTTAAAATATTAAGTTTAACTTCACATTAAATACTATACATAATTCAGTTTTACATTTTTTGTTGTAACCTCTTTTCACATGTTATTTATTAATATTTTTTAAAAGCCTACGGTTTTAAGTACATAGCAGTCCCGGCATTTAGCTTTTGAGTGAATGAACAAGTGAATAAATGACAGACAGATTTTTAAATGTTTAACATATTCTTTGCTGTTTTTTTAGGTGAGGTGACCAGCGGCTGCCCCTCTCCATGCTTAAAAAAGAACATTGCCATGGGTTACGTGGATTCGGCATTCGCTAAGAACGGAACAGCCATCCAGGTTGAGGTCAGGAAAAAAGCTGTGCCCGCCACCGTCAGCAAGATGCCCTTCGTCCCCACCAACTACTATTCTGGATAGGAGAGACACACACATAAAGAAGCATCCACTCACACTGGACCACTCCTCCACTCTGTCCCATATTCACCAATGACGTACCCCTGTTTACCTCCAGCAATGCAATACCAATGGAAGACTTAATGCCTTCATTGGCAAGTCCTCTAAGAGAAAATAATCCAAAACGATAAACTTTTATAGAGACAGTATGTATGCTGGAAATTAATTACAAACAGTATTGTTGAGTCTGAGACTGTAGGGCCAAGATACTGTGTTAACACGGTTTGCAGACCAAGTTTCTTTTGTATTTGCAAATTATTGATCGCTTACGGCTTAAACAAGGATGGTCAAACATGGCCAGCTAAAAATCGCTCCAACACCTCATCAGAAATATGTTAAATAACAAAAATGTTGGAGGGATTTTGAGAAATTTAGATATCCACATCAGATAAAACATAACCAGACTGTTTACAATATGATGCACCTGAAAGAGAAATGTGGTTTATTGATAACCTAACTTGAAAATATGTTAATTGTCATAATGTGTTTTGTCTGGCAACTAATGAAATGTAATTGTATTGTCTCTGAGTATTAAGCTCTGAATGTATTTTTTGTACAAAAAAACCCATAACATTCTTAATATAGAAATAAAACTACTGATCTATAGGTTGTCGGTATTTGCATCTTTGTTTTAAAGGTGTACTTTTTTCGTCACAGCGGTGTTGTGTGGGGTTAGTTTCAGATACCGGAAACAGGGGATGCTCACACACCCAACCTGGCAACCCGCGCTGCCGGTTAGTTCTGCAGTTTACTGAGGAAGATGGTGGACTTGGCGACAACAGCGTGCTCACTACTCCGTCCTAAACACTTTGGAAAAACATTTATATCTCCACCTGGCATTAGATATAGATTACCGGGAGACAATCATAGATAATACATAGCCAACCCCGTTGAAGGAGGTGACTTTTTCGCAACTCTTTTTATCCGAGACTGGAGAAAGCTGGGAGTTGTTGAATGCGCTGCTGGTGTTTGGTGCTCGGGAAGAACGCTAGCCAGCGTTAGCTAAAGTGTCAACAAAAGTGTGAGAGCAGCTGTAATTTTGGGAGCTTTGTACCAAGCTGTCAAGATAAACCAAGGAGACCTTCGTCACTTTGCTGCTGCCACATTCACACAGACTGTCACATCTGTTGGCAGTTGGACGGAAAACAGGCTAACTTTAGCTTCCTAACATCAGCTAGCTTTATTGTGATCCGTGGATCAAAGCGCTACTCGAAATGCCACGGAGTAAAAAGGGGAAACGTGGCTCCAGCAAGCCTGGTAAGTATAGCAATAGAGGTCATACTAACTCACTATCCTTCTCCTGGCAGAAAACCAAGCGGTAGCAGTTTAGGTGTCTCTGCCATATGGCATTACTGATAAAACAGTGAGGCAGCCTTTTGCTCCTCTAACTTTAGCTGCTTGACTAGTGTATATAGTTGTCCTGTCTGCCATGTGGCTTATAATTAGTGCTGAAGCTTAGCAGGGCATTCTGCCTGCTTGTGCCATTTATTTTGAACCCATTCACTTAATCGAATTGCTGTACGTGTATAAACCTTGAAGAATTGTCCAAGATAAGGCAATGCATTTATTGGTTAACTGGTGATTTGTGTTGCGTTCAGGACCCTTATTTGCTAAAGCTACACACTAGTAGGGTTAAGGGTAACCGCATGTTATTTTAAGCAGCAATGCTATTTAAAAGGTAGGTGTAAACTGTTGGACAGACAACACGTGCAACGGGGCCTTTCAGTGCATTTACACACGATTTGGGTTCATTTACGTGCAGTTAAGTTGCTGCTTTGCAGCAACAACTACACGTTTAAACCATTGTACGGCGGTAATGCGGACCATGCATGTGCTGGCAAGGGTGTACAGCCCCCTCACGTTTCATCGAGTGACGTCACCCAGGAAGCAAACACGTGCCTTATATTCACGGGATGTATATTTCTGCTAACGATTAAATAACGGAGAAGGCGGTGAATACAGAAATGTATAACACATCAGTACATGTGCATCAGTATTTTTCAATGTGCAGAGTTTAATAATGAATAGGTAAATAAACTTATGAGGTTTTCTTCTCCACTTTGGTCATTCCTCATCTTCCCATTCATTTTATTATCCACCCACTATTCCTCCTACACTCTTTACCCCCTTTATTTCACCCATCCTTCATCCATCCATACGCCGTCTCCAGGCTCTCTTCGTCAGGAGGTTCTTCAGCTGTCAACTAAAGCCTCGCTGAAAGGTAACTCCTCTGATGCTTGACCCCTGACCCCGGCTCCGTGTCCAACACAAGGCTTGTCCAGATGCTCTTGAACCGCACTACAGTGCATGCAGTAAACCAACACGCCCCTCTCACGCTCTACTGGCTGGTTGACTTTCCACAGCATCTTTGTTCTTTAGCCGCACAGGGGCATTAAAGCGACATATTGTCTGAGTTTATCCAGTCAACCCGCATGACCACCATGAAGTAAACGCCCCATCAACGTGCCCATTCATCCACACTTTTCACTTGCAACTTGCAGCTAAAATATAATGTTGCTTCATCGCCGTCTAAGTGATTTCTCTGATCCTCCAACCTCTAAGCACTTCCTGGAGTTTCTTATAGATATGTATGTAATATACCTAGGGATGGGTATCGTTTGAAATGTATCGATTCCGGTTCTTATCGATTCCCCGTTTCGATTCCAAAATTGTAAAAGAAAGAGGTCAAACGTTTAGATAACAAAAATATCTTTATTCTTTTAAGCTTTAACTGACATTTTTACAAATAAAAAATATACATGCAATACAAATGTATTGCACAATAGTTGTGCTTTATTTTAACTGAGCTATGCCTGTGGCAAGCTATTAACAGGCATTACACTTTGCCTTGTCTTTTTCTTCTTTAGTGTAGTGGAGCCTCACTTTAGAGCGTTTACCGCGATCCATCTTTGGTGTTATGAAGTGACTGAGCTCGTGAACTGTCTACGGGAGGGCGGGGGGAGCCTCGCTGCGGGGAAACTGTAGACCTCTGTCGCCTGTCAGCGCAACTTACATGATGCCTTTAAAAAAAATTAAGGGCGGTGCTGGCCGTTAGCGTACCGAGCCGGCCGTCAACGGCCTGCTGACGACCGGCCGTTCTGTGATTCTCCAGAACACACAGATAGCCAGTCCGCCCTTACGCGGTACACCCTGTATTCCACCGGGTCCGTCTGCGCCGTGGTGACCCGGTGGAATACAGGGTCTACCGCGTTTAGGAACCGTTAAGCAGAACCAAAATTGTGTATTTTGTATGGGTACCCGGCATTTTCTTATCGGTTCTCATCTGGAACCGAGTTTTGGTTCCCAACCCTAAATATACCTGAGTAACATTATTGGTACTGTTTTAATGTTGCTAACAGTTTATTTTTTCAATACGTTACATTGTGATTTTACTTGATTGGTTGATTAAGAGTTAAATACTGCAACTTTCCACGGATGTACATACAGCAAATGTGCATATTTTTTATACATCAAACATGTCAGAATCTGATGTTACATTTGAGAAGTAAGTTCTAGTGAAACAGCAGCTTGTAGGGAGAACTCAGATTATTTTAGTCTTCCATTTAAAGCTTGTACTACAAGGCCATGGCCATGGCCATGGCCAGGAACCAGGGAACCGCTTTGCCTTGGCCATCTGATTTGTCCATCTGCAGCAGATTCTCTTACTGAGGGACTGACTGACTGCAGGAGCTGTTTGAGTGATTGCTATGTAAGCATAAAGCAGCCGAGCAGAGACGACACGTGAGTCAGTCGTGGCAGGGAGCTCACACCCACCATAACCGAGCTGTGCGTTGGCACTGGCCAGACCTGTGTGGGAAGGTGTGTAGCTGTGTGTGTGTTAGTGATGGGAATTATGGCTCTTTGAAGGGAGCCGGATCTTATGGCTCCGTTCCTTTCAAAGAGCCGTTCAAAAGAGCCGTTCAAAAGAGCCGTTTTTTTAAGGTTACTAGGTTTATCTGCAAAATAATCACCAGGATAATGATTGCCAGACCTAATGTCAATAATCGGCATTGTAAACATGACACAAGGTGGCGCCATATCCATGTCATTCATGTCAGTGAATGTACTTTGAATTTACCCTCTGTATGTGTTAAGTAAATAAAGTTGCCTTGCCTTGAATGAAATTCATGCAACTCTTAATATTAGATACTGTGTTTTTAAGTGGCGATGGAGATTATTTGTTGACCCTGCTTTAAAGGATATTTTGCCTTTACAAATGGTGCGCTTTATCACTGCCTGGGTTTTGGTTGAAGTGCATCCAAATGCTGCTGCGTTTTCGCGTTTGGCTCATTTTCCATCCGAAAAACACGTCGTCTACCTGTCCTGTACCACTTGTTATGACTTCTCTCTCGCGCGTATTCCGTTAAGACCCACCCCATCTCACTCCTCGTGCTGAAACCTACCAATCAGAGTAGTGGCGGATCTTCACAGAATACGTTTGGGGAACAAAATCAAGCTTTTTAAAAGGCGAGTGGATTTTGGCAGGCAGTGAGTGCGGACCGTGCGGACCAACGATTGAACGATAACAAGAACGGCTCTCACCAAGTAGGACTCGGTTCCCCTCGTTCGTACCAAAGAGCCGTTCAAAAGAATCGGCTCGTTCGCGACCGACACATCACTAGTGTGTGTGTGTGTGTGTGTGTGTGTGGCTTTGAGGGAGTGACCTGAGGCCTGTACTACGAAGCTGGTTCAACCTAACCTGAATATGTTTGGGTTAGCCGGTTGGCCCAATTCAAAACATACGCGCTCTCGCTAAGCTGTACTACGACGCTGGTTATCAAGTGGATCGCTCAAGCCAGCCGTGTCCTATCTAGTTAGGTGCATGTTCACATGAAAGGGGTGGTATTTGGAGCATTCGACCAATCACAAACATGGACAAGCGTACTGACAGCGCAGCGTCATACTTCCTGAATGAAAAGTGAACTTTAATATTAGTCAAATATGAAGAAGTTAAACTTTAAACATCCATGACTTAAACACTTTATCCAGGATAAAAGCCACATAGCTGCACCTGCAAGGTGAACACAGCTGGTAAAAGAAAAAGTGTTTGAATGCGTACATTAACAGGTTTATGAAATCACTGCCCCGTCCAAGACACGAGTGGATCTGACTTTAATTACATTTGACTCGAGTGTTTCGTCAACTTAATGTGTTGCTTAAAATAATACTTCTGCATACAGTATGTGACACTGTGAGTGTTGCACGGCCAGATACGGCTCAAGAAGCTGACTCAGATAAGGAAATATATGATACATTATGATGTGATATGATATGAATGATAATGGGACACATCGACGTCTGCACTCACAGTGCCGCGGACTGTACTTAATGTTACTTTGATCCGGTTACTTATGTTGTGGCAGATATTTAAGTAAGCTTTCTTAACGCTAATGTTATAATAGTCAGATTGCTCTGAAAATGGGAGGGGATATTCTATTAATTTTCACGTTCACACAGTCAGTTGATTTTTGCCGGCCGTCTTTCCTGCAACGGCAGTTTTTCTGTATTTCCTCTATCCTGTAATATGACTTGATCGCTTTAAACTCCGCACACGGAGCTCTGATTGGTCAGCAGGCGGTGCTTTCACTGAGTTGATCTCTTAGCCTGCAAC